TCCCCGGCAGATGACGGAGAGCGGCAATCACCCGAGCACTTCTGCTCTGCAGTCTAGCCACAACCTTAGCAGGGGGCAGGAGGACACACGGTCGATGAAATAGTGCCGGTCCCACACGGAATAGACAAAGCACAAGCACCAAGATGTTCGCAGCGAAGTTTGCATCTTGGCAACTGGAAGAGTGCTTTGTCAACAGCAACTGGACTGCCTGTCAGCTATGTTTCCAGCATGAATGTTGAGGGGAAAGGCTATTTAGTGCTTCATCGCAAGCCCAAACATGAAATGAAAAAGTGAATTAAAATTTATGTGGTAACTGCTTAATAAGTGAGGCTGATAATCAAAGGTTGGGCTGTAGCATTTCTGCTGCATTTAAACAGCACAGAAGGCGACTGCAATCCACCAGTACAAATGCAAACAACTTCAAAGAGCAATGGCATCTTCCCCCCCACACACACTCCCTGGCTAGAATCTCTATATGCCTGTGTACGCTTTGTACTCTGTTTTTCTATGATGACAATTTAATTTTTGTTTGCCTTTTTTAAGGGAGGAAAAAAAACCAAAACCCACCCTTTGCTTTAATGATCTTCAGCACAGAGAACTTAAAAGTGGCTTACAAGAAGCGGAGTCTGGCATTTTCTGTTTGCACCAGTCAGTCGCTAGTGATTGATCTCAGAAGCCAGGCTTCATTTTCTAAGCAAAATAAGCTGCAGTTGGCAAAACCTGATTAAAGTGAATGGAATTTTATCTGATGTGGCTGTTGCCACTCATTTCAGTGTAATGTCTCTCTTTTCAACTACAGAGGACCTGCAGAACGCAGAACAAAAAGTAGGCATCAGTTCATAATGCACGCTTCTAAAAGTTTAAGTGTTCCTAATAGGCCATCAAACTGCTGGGAAACCAACCTGCGAGGGGTACGGCGGCCTGTAGCATCAACTCATCACACCGCTGTTGTAGAGCATGTGCCGTCATCCTTACATAGAGCTCCTTACAAGAGAAGCCGCTAGCTGGCCCGACACTTGTTAAATCCATTGTGCAAAAATTGCTGCCAATGACCATGAACTAAGCATAAAAAAAAAAAGTCCTGGAGGGGCTTGACTTTGCTTCTTGGATTTGAGCCTTTAGGGCACAGTGGATCCATTGTGACTTCGCCCTCCGAGCTGATGAAGCCTGAAAACATCTGCGATCCTGACACAAGCAAGCCATGCTCGCTAGGAAGGGCTGGCATCGCTTGGTGTCACTTCCCAACAGACAGAAGAGTTCCTTTTCCTCTCATTTTTGAGGAAAGGGAGACAGTGAGCGAAAGAAGAGCAGGCGAAATTACATTTGAAGAGGTGCAAATACAAAACTGACAGGCTTGGAGACAACACGTTTCATTCCAATGGCTATTTGCAGAGCAGCTCCTCTGCGAGATAACTAATGGCATGTGAAAAGGTCCTACGCACAGAAAACAGTCTGTCATGTTAAAATAAAGAGCTCTGAAGCTGTGAAGTCTGGCATAGCTGTAAAAATAACTTTCGGTTGGGAGGGAGGGAGGCTGGGAACCCCGCGGCTCCCAATTCTTTTCAAAGACAATGCCCGGTGCTGCAGCAAGGAACACGGAGGCTACCATGGATCCTACAAATCTCCACCAAAAACCTTAATTTAAATTACTATCAAAGATTAAAGACTAGTGTAAGCCTACACTCCCTTGCAACCGCATTAATTATTAAGGCAACACACAGAGCTCTGTAATTGGCTCCTGTCTGTCAGCGCAGCACTGAGTTTACAGGTTGGGGTGGTGGCAGAAGGATGCTGACGATGACATACCATTTCTGGGTTTGCTGGTTTGGGGGAGAGGTGGAAGCAACGTTAGGCAAAATCAGGGTGCCCTTCCCGTAGCAGAGGGCAGGCGGGAGCGGGGGGCAGGCGGGGAAGCAAGGAGGCAGTGCTGAGCTCCCCCCGCTAACTGCAGCCCGGGATTAAACGCTGACACTGCTAGGAAGTGAAGACCAGGCAACCCCACCCCCCCAAAGAAAAATTACCCTTTCCCCCTACCCCTGGTGAAAAAAACCCCAACCCTGCCTCTGCTCTGCGTAAACATTAGCCGCTGCGGTAGGTTTTATGCAGCTGTGACGTTGTCTTGCTTTCATTTGGTTCGTTTTATTGGGGAGTGGTCCCTTCCACAGGTCAAAAATCAGACAACCCACGCGAGGGATCTCTCTCTCTTTCTTAACTACATCTACCAAGTGATTTATTATCAACTTTACAAAATGGGGCCACCACACATTTGAAGAGCACCTGAAAGTGCCGGTCTGACACCAGGGCCCACGGGGCTGCCAGCACATCTGCGGCTGCCAACCGCGAGTCCTCGCTCTGGGGCAGGTCTCTCTCCAGTAACCCGCCGTAAGCAGAGACCACGCTGCCGACCACAAGGATGTAAGGGGGATGCACAGACAGCTCGGCTGATGTACGGCAAGGTGGTAACCTTGTGGTAAATGTTTTCTGTCTCGGAGCCCTAGGTTTGCTCCTGAGGTGATTCAGTTCATCCCAATTTGGGCCAAGCCCACTGCAATGCTTAAATCCTGGTGAAAACTTCAAAAACGCAACTCACAAGAGATGCAAGAGGAAAAGGGAGAGATCTGAGGTACCACCAACATCTCTGCGTACAGATCTGGGGAAGAGTGGGAGGGGAAATTATTCCTACAGGTGGAAGCCAAGAAAGGCAGTGGACAGGGTGGGAGACACGACGGCCTCCAGGAAGGTGGCTTCTTCCCGGAAGAAGGAAAGCAGAAAGTATTGTAGTCGTTCTGTCATTGTTTAAATCTGAAAATTGAAGACAGCGGTGGAGAAATTAGCACCGGTCACTTCCCCCCCCCAGCCAGAGTCTGGCCGGGGAAGGGGCCACAGCAGTGGATAGCACCACGACGACACCACCGTTAAATTGTCAATCAAGTTTAATGCATCATAAAGAAGTAAAACTACATTGGCATATTTAAGACAAACACTTTTTTTTTCTATGCACACTATCCACTGGACAGTCCCCTTTTCAAAATAACTACTTTTAACAGTCCAAGACACTTCTTCAGAAATGCTTCACTTATTCAACCTTCCACGCTTTTCCTTTTTTTTTATTTGTCTGAGAAGGAAAAAAAAATCATTAAACCTGAAAACATTTACATTGCAAGCCACGTTAGAATGCATAATTGGCATACAATAACCAATGTATTACAATTGTGTTTTACTTAGTTCACTTTGTTCATCAATAAAAGAATATAAAAATCTTGTTCAACCGAGTGTTGTGTATTAAAATAGATTTGTATAGTACTGCACAGTTTCTCCCGGAGTTGTGAAAATGGTTGAAGGGACCATGTGCTGCCTAGTGATGGGCGACGGAAAAAGCCAGTCCCTCGTGTGGTTTTGTGGTTTTTTTATTTATTTAAAAAAAAAAAAAAAAAGATATTCGGCACCATGTGATATGCTGATGTGAGAGACTAGCCTTGCGTCGTGCTCTGGTGGCTTCTTGCTTTCCTTAAGTACCTGTTGTGCTAATTGACGGAGAACTCATAAACGACAGAGACGATGGCATCTCGGGGGGAGGAGGGTGACGTTAAGAAAAACCGGGGTGCCCACCACTACCTTCCCGGGCAGGCCGCAGGGTGACGGGGGGGCCTGTGGCCTACGGGGGGGCCAGGCGGACCCTTGCAGTATCAGGAAGACTAGCGAGTGAAACAAGCAGGCGCACGGGGACTTTCTCAGGCTAATGCTAAACGCTTCCCAAATGTGCTAAAACCCAACAAAATATTCAAAAGGAATCGAGTTTCCAAAAAACCCCAGCAAATCCTTTAAATTTTCCGCAGCCTGTCCCTCCCCCAGAACTCTTGATATTATCCAGTATGAGAAACAACCCCTTGAGGCAGTTTTTTTTTTTTTCCTGTACCATTTCAGCAGAGATTTCTGCAAGCAAAAAAGAAAAAAAAAAATAATAAAAAAATCACGTTACATATTTTTAACAATAAAAATGCAGTACAAAAATGTAAAGTTATCTTTTTGGCATATTATCTGTACTGGCAAGAAACAAAAAAAAGAATATTTATTTGCTTTTTTTCTTTAAAAAAAAAAGTCAAAAATTAACAAAAACAGAAAACCTTTAAAATAATCTCTTTAAAAAAATGAAACCCAACCTGCCAAAGATATCCACTCTTATGGTTTATGCTAAATCTTCACAAAAACTCCATGAGAAAAATACACCGATAGCAAAATAAGTAAAAAGGACCTGCAAAAAAGTAAGGAGTTTTACAGTCATACTTTTTTAAATACTTCGGAACGCATATACAGAAGCATCAGCATGAAAATACTTCAATATTTTACTAGAAACGCTAACTTCATACAGTTTCTTTATTTAAATATCTGCAATTCTCAACTCTAATAATACTGAAAAAAAACGATCTTTTGTTTCGAAGGCTCTGTGAGTGTCCGTGACGCCGTTCTGGTCGAAACTGCCCCATCTCCAGCTCACCTGAATCAACGGGGCCAACTTTGTTCCTCTGACAAGAATCCATGTCGAGTCCTAAGTAGTTCAGTTTCTGGTTATCTCACCAATTTCCCTCCCACACATAGCTTTCAGCCCAACTACTTCTCTACTAGCTCACTAACTCTTTGCATTGACAATTTTCCCCTTAAAGCAGAACTGGAAACCCATCTGCCCCCCACAAAAGGATATCCCGCTTCCTATCGGCCATACTTTTCCTGTTCATCCTCAGTCATAAATACATTAAGGCCAACATAACAAAAAAATCTCATAAGCACTGAAGGTCTCGGCAAATACAAAACCGCAGCACAACCCGCTCCGTGGGAACCTGCTGCCACAGCGACCTACACACTGGACTGATTGGTTTGCAAGTTTCTACGTGTATCAAAACTGAGATTGTTCCTTCTCTCCTTTGTTTCAGTTTAATCTCTCCTCTGCGCATGTGTATAAAGTTTTTTTCCCCCCTTCCTTCGCTCTCTGGCAGCCGGCTCTGTCAGTTGTTACCCTGCGACTGCTGCAAGGCTTTGTGCATGGCAGCGGCGGCAGGGGAGGGTTTGATCCAGGGGACCGTTAGCAGGGAGGAGGTGGTGGTCGTCGTCATGGTAACCTGAATCATCTGCTCGTTTTGTATCAGTCTAATGAGGGTTTTAAGACGTTCCAGTGATGACTGAGTCCCTTTCTGCTGGGCCAACAGGCTGGTTTTTAGCTCTAAGCATTTCTGTCAAATAAAGAGAAGGGGAGAGAGAAGGAAAGACTGAGGATACATTCAAATTGGTGTCAAACATCTCTCCAAACATCCTTTTGTGTCCTGAGTGCACGTCCTGCTCAAATGAAGTATATTCTCTTTTGGGGATAGCAAAACCACAGCTTAACGAATGGAGTAATCAGCACTGCTGCCTACCCTGCAGCAGCTGTCTAAGGTAACAATATTCATCCCACTCCAAATGCATTCAGAGGACGTTTCCGACCTCATCCTGTAGACAGCCTGGCAGACATGCCTTCTGCACTCCGAAGAGGTTACTGGCACAGGATTGTAATAGCTGTATTACTGGAAAGTACCAAAGGCATCGGGGAGGTCCCTCAATCTTACCAAAAGGCATCGATAAACGCTTGAGGGATAAACCTCACCACAATGCATTTTGCACGTGCCGTAGATTTCAGGGAGTCAGTACCGTGAAGGTAAGTTGATCTCACCAAACACGATGTCACGATCTTTCTGGCAGAAAACTTGATCACTACTGTTATACCACCGCAGTCACAAGAAAGCCTTTTTCCTACGGAGTGGCCAAACTGCACCCCACAATCACTTGAAACGCTTCATACAAACCTACATGACAACGAGTGTGAGAGCAGGAGCCAAACGAAGGCATCCCAAGTCTCCCTCTTCTCCAAGAAGAGACAAGGAAGAATCAGCAATTCTCCTTTCCCTCCCCAGCCACGTACTGCCGCGGCTAACATCCCATTCTTTACACTATCAACTGGTCTGCAAGGCAATATGTGACAGCCCAAAACCCTGAGCCTGCCTGCTAGATGGAAGGGGACGGTGGCCTCTCTAATATCTGAAACCTCCTGTTCCCTTTCTCTCAGTGGGCCCAGAGGTCTGGCAAAACTGGTTACTTGTCTGCAGATCGCTCCCCTTTGGCTATGGTCTAGATTGCCCGGAGTAGCAGGGGGATTCTCCAGTCTTGGGGAAGTGGGAAATGCTTACTTGCAAGTCAAGTTGTTTGAAAAGCAACTGTGTGGAGCTGCTCAGAGGTTGGTTTAGACAGATGAAATCTCAGGTGCAGGATAAATCATGTTCTGTTTTTACCAAATAATACCATTTCACCTGTGCTGTGGTGTAACATGAGAGTGCTCTCTTTAATGTAAATCTCTGTTACGGCAAATATCAGAAATGAAATTGTTCTATGCTGGAACACCTTTAATTGTTTTTCTCCTTTCGACTGGATATATCTCCAATAAATATAATCATCGGCTGATATTACCATTTAAATAAGACAGTGTTGCCCGCTCAAAGAACCTGATTCTGCTTAGGTAGAAATCTTACTGATTTTTGACAGCCCTGACATACACCTGATAGCTGACGGCATCCCCAAATGCTTTTCTTTTTCCAAACACCTCATCCCACCACACTCTCCTACCTACTAAAGATATTCCGTACCCCAGAGTCACTTCTTCATAGATACGTGTCTTTCCATTAGTGCTGATGGTGGCTATACACACTTACAGGGAATATTCCCCACTGTGATGACTTTTAATAGGTTATTGCTTTTCCTTCCTCTCTTTTAAATGTGATAAATATTTTAACATGCCTCCTCTGGATAACTGCAGTGGGAAAACAAGTAGTGACCAGTTACTCCTGCAGCTGCCACTTTGATTTTTCCAGGGTAAGGAAGTTTCAAATATTTATTGAGACTCCCATGGAAGCTAACAGCTACCCCTTAAGAGTGGGTCCGAGGTGAGGTAGCCTCAAATCAGTTCCTTCAGCCATGGAGGACAGGAATTATGGCTTTGAACTCAGCCCATTCATTACTGCCAGAGACTGGTCCTTATAGCATAGTATGTGTGGGAGACATCTCCGGCCAACATTTAGCTTTGAAACAAGTTCACGGAGAAAATGATTGTGAACCCGTTTCCAGTCATGGAAAGGTTGTTACAACATTCAGCCCCTGAGACAAATAAAGATGGTTATTTCTACTTAATCTCAAGAGTTTTGAGCTAATGGACAAGCAGCTACCACTGGAGGACACGCTTGCGACTAAGCTGTGCACCTGGCGAATGGAAGTGCCTTAAAGTCCTTGGGTAGATCTGAGCTGGGTATGGCACTACGAGGAAGGCAGACACGGCTGTTTTGCAGGGGGGTTGAGAGCAATGGGAGTTCAGGTGATTTTCTAGCCACAAAGTATCTTGGTTTTCAGGCATAAATTCTTTATAAACATCTCTGTAGGAGACTCTGTGTCCGCAGTCAGGTGTCCTACCTTCACTGCATTGTTGAGAAGTCGATCTTTTTCCTCTAACTGTCTATGCTCACTCTTCAGCTCACTGCTTCTCTTTAATAACTTCCGCTTCTCCTCTTCTTTGACTGCAGAACAATAAGATTAAGGATGCAGAAGTTACGAAAAGGACATACGGCAAAACTGTGCGCTTGACAACAGAAAGCAGCAGCATGTATTTTGAATGGTGAGTTTCAGGTCTCATTAGCCTTTTGTCAGCAGGTACAGCCAAAGAAAGCTGAAGTTTCTGCTTGCACGCGTATGTCTACGTCAACAGCTAGCACACAGGACAACCCAAAAACTATAGTGCACCTTTGAGATGAATTAAAATTAATGCTTAGGACACACATGGCCCTGTTGGTCTCCAGGAAAGGGGTGCATGGTATTTAAGAAGAGGTCAGCCACCTGGAATGGCAATAGTTAGCGACTCTGACTGAAAGCACAATCATAACAGTTCCAGACCTCTGCAAAGCTCCTTACAAATATGATCTAATGTCCCAAACAGCCCATTGTAAGAGTGCAACAGGGAACTAAAAAAGAGTAATGGCCAATGCAGAGGTATTATATGACATCTGATACTAATGCTTGTGATACCAAATAATACCAAAACGATTAGGAGCTGATATTGCTGTAGTATCTGAGACACTAGTCTGGCGTTGTGCTACATACCCAATTACATGGCTCTGCCTAGCCTGACTGTGTCTCTCTGCCTCCCAGCCTGACAGGATTCTGCCTCAAAAATCCCGTTTCCAGCCCTGTTCTCAGGAAGGCACCACTTTGATGATAGCCTCCTCCACAGAGTGAAGCTCCTGGGAGATCAGTCTCAGCTTCCTTAAAGAGAGAAGATAGCGAAGGAGCAGACGGAGGGGAAGGGGAGAGAAAGTGGCCTGCTGTTCCCAGTCACAGCCCCTTATGGCCCTTTGCTTACTAATGCTATTGTACCTGGAACCATTACAACACTACTTTAATATTAGTGCTATGAAGGACTCAAATGGCATCACCCGTCACCAGCAGGGAATCCCTTGTCAATAGCTGTGTTAACCCCTACCTGTTTTATGAGTAACATAGGAGTGAACAATAGCCAGAGTTCCAGTCCATGGCACATTGTCATCTTTCTTTACCACCTATAAGCCCAGGAAACAATAAAAAGTTAGGACTCCACAAGGACCGACATTAATGTTTTTCTTCCTCCAGCCTCACAGCTCTGCAAGACCAGATCTAGGGTTCTGGTCTCAGAATTCGCAAGCTGAAAAGTAACAAGAGAATAATTTGAGTAGCCGTCTCCATTGGGGCTGACTCCTTTACACATCACTATAAACAGCACTACCAAACAGCGCTAAAAGGGGGTTACAAATCCTGTTTCTTCTTGCCACAGCCAGAAGACATTCTTCAGCCCCTGACAAGCAGATCTCCACACTGTCAGGAGTGTTGTCTACTCAGCATGGGAGAAGTTGCTGGTCCGTATGAAAACATGACTGCGCGGATCTAATCCTGGGCTGCTCTGCTCTCTGCAACTGCATACTAGGACTTCCCCTTGACATTTTCAAAGGAACATAACAGTGATCTCAACGCTAAACACAAAGAATTCTAAGGCACAAAATCTAAGCCTCCACTCTACAATTTAGTGACACTGTACTGTTCTAGTAATTGCTTTTCTGTTCATGCAATCATCAGCCTTATTCACAGCAACTAGACAAATTAGCATTTCTGACATGACCATGATCAATAGGTGTGTGCAATAAACATGATTTAAAGAAAAGGAAGTGTTCTCCTCACAGCTTTCTGATCCACTGGTGAACACTGTCTCCTTCTGACACTGTCTTCCTCACCTATAGTATTTACACTACTTGTCCGGCAGTGCTACATGCTGGTGGCTTTATCGTAAAGAAGGGAAACAAAGGAAATGAAGAGACATTTTAAAAGGACAAATCTCAGCACATGTGATACAGGGAAGCTAAGGCATTCAGTGTATGTTCTAACTTTCAGACAATGACAATACCAGAAACAAATGCTCCAAACTGTACTGCAAGCCTCTCCATATTACTTTAGCTAATGTAGTCCCCTAAGCTGTCACCATAGGTTAGATTAGTTTAGTGGTACACAAATTCGAGGTTTCTCCCATTTTCTCTTCTTGGCATGCTCTGCTCCGTGTAGCTTACCTTCTGTTGGCACTTTGGACAGACCCAAACCCCCTTGGGGGCTGTTTTGAGGGGCGGGTCCAAGCAGTTGAGGTGATATGCTCTGGGACATGTGCCGCAGGGCTGCAAGTTAACGCCTCGCTTGCAAGCAGTGCAGTGTTCGTCATGGTGGATCTCATTCTGCAAGAGATGAAGAAATACAGATTGGGTAAAGTCAATCCATTGAGAACTCCTCTCTATACAGCATTCAAAGCCTCTATTGCAGCAGACAGGCTCATTCAATCACAAAATCTAATTGTCGAAAGAACCCTGGCCGCTGTAGAAGACGACAGAAATAATGGTGTATGATAGCAACACACAAACAAACAAGCCAGAAGGAAGTTCCATAAATTGAAACAGCTAGAAAAAGAAAAACCAACTAATCAAACACTGAAGGGAGTTGATTAATATAGCCAGCTTGTGACACAGGAATTATTTCACTTGGTTGTGATAATGTGTCATTCCCCACACATGTATCACCATGCACAGCTCTATTCTGAAGCATGGGTCAAAGTCAATATGTGGAACACTTGTCCTTCAAGTCGAAAGCAGAAGGAAGCAAGCAAGAAAAAGTTTCTGGAGAAAAAGCACAGTTCCATGTTTTATGCCCATTGCCTCAAAGAGCAGCTAGGAAAACAGTATGCTCGGGTACAATCTTTTGCTCTATACCCTCTTTTGTGAACTCCTCTACAGAGCTCCTCCATCCCTCTGTTCTCCCTGGCACTAATTGTTCTCTGTTCAGACTTGCTCTGACAACCTTTCTCCAACAAGACTGATTAGTACTTTGTCTGAAGCAATACATAAAATGAACTAAGACTCATCAACAAAGTTACAATGTCATGTAGAAAATTGCTATGCTAATCTGGTGGCAACATTAATTACTCTTTGTATAATTAAGTGCATTTTAATAAAGGAGATACTGATTTTGAAACTCTCATGGTTTGTGAATTATTATAAAAAAACCCTAAGTTTTCCCAGTGTTTTCCAGGAAGGAGAATAATAATTTTGCACCTTTCTTAATTCCAAAAGCATATTTTCATTTTTAGGGATATTAAGTATAATGTTTCATGATAGTTTTCGTCAGGCTTGTATCTTGAATTCTAACTCAGTCCTGTCAAAAAATTGCTCTCCAAAATACTACTCTTTAGAAATTACCTGCTCAAAAAGTCTTAATTTTAACTTCAATGTAAAGAGATTCAATCTATACAAACTAAAATGATTACTCATTTTTCTTAAAATTTTCATTAAAACCACAAATCTGGACTAGCAATTTCTCAATCGGTAGATTCTAGAAAGGGATTAAACTCAAGCCTTGCATATGAAAGCCCGAGAGTTCATCTCTTTGAAATTCTAACTTAGGGGCTCAAAGATTTAGTTAAGTGGGAAATGTTACACACAAGCAGTATGAAGGGCAAAGAGAATACTGTAATTTTGTACCTTGATAGAGACTACAATAATTGGAAGCAAGCACTGAATTACACGGTGATGAGAAAAACAGTGGTAATACACAAATTTTGCTACACATACCTTCCAGAATGGATCCTCATTTGCTAGCATATGAAAGAAGGGCAGAGAACAGATTAGTGGGGAAAACATCGCTGCAGTGAATGCTAGTTCTCAGCTACGGGAAAAATTTTAGTCAAGCTGTGACACAGGAGATCAGGACATTGCCAAAATTAATGTGGGCAGGAAAGAATGCAACAGCAAGCAGTGGAATTAGCATTTGAGATTTACATTGCAGGACTCTCATGTCCAAAGGTCTGATGCTAAAATGTCATAGTATGAGAAGCACATTCTATTTTAAATTTTCAGAAATTTTCATGCGCAGCTCCTCTCCACATGCCAGTAGTCAAAAAGTCTTTCTTAGGGACTTCAGCCTGCTGGGTGATGAACAGTCTGGCCCTGAACCAGCAAGGCACTCAAGCAGGTGCTTAACTTGGAGTATGAAATTGGTGCCACTGACTTACCGTTAAACACATGTTTAAATGTTCAGCTGATTCATGGCCAAAATGGGCAGTTACTTGTGGGAGTGAGCTTTCTGTGATCATCAACTCTTTATCATCTACTCCCACCCAAAACGCCAAGATTTTCTGACCTTTTGATGAACCCAGCCTGTAGTGATTGCATTCACAGCCTGATAACAACAAGAACCATCAGAGCTCACTGGAAAGCAGGCCAAGCCTTTCAGAAAAATATTTTTGAAATTTATCACACTTTGGTCCAAAAATAAAAAGCCAGAAAATTTTAACAGTTTCATGGAAACCACACAGTGGGTGGCAATTTTCGCTGTTGATTTGTAAGAGGCTGGTGCACACTGTCCCAGTGACAAACAGCTGACGGAGAGGCCTTTCTTTGGATTAAAGTGGAGACAACCAAACTGATAGTTCTGTCCTTCTGTCCTCCTACAGCTCCCTCTCTGATCACCATGGGACTATAGCTGTGCCCCAGTGTGACCCCTCATATACAGACCAACCTGGGAGCCGTTTCCTGCACATTCCTTTTATACACTGATGTATGTATACACGTGAAGATGCAAACACATTCAGACCACACACAGATGTAGAAAGAGGAACATCAGAATGAAGGAACAGCTTCACCTAAGTTAGACCAAAGGCTATAAAGCCCAGGGTCCCTTGCTAACAGCATCCAGTGCTGCCACTCATGCACAGAGTACAAGAACAGGGTAAGCACGAAGTACATTTTTCTACTCCAGAAGTATCCTTCCAGATGCTAGCAGTTTGTGGGTCTCCCTAAACTGCAGTTTGCATCTTCATTTTTATATTTAACAGCCTTAGATAGATTTTTTTTTTCCCTTCCATAGATTTGTCTACTTTTCCCAACAATTGTGGCATCCTTTGGCAATGAGTTCCATAAATAATCACAGACTTCTAAAATCTGTAGATGTCACTTCATATACACAAACACGCACACAGAGATCCACCGCGATATGACACCACGATTACTCAGGGGATATAAACGTTATTCAGATAAACAGAGGCTTGGTAATTGAAGAGTCTTTTCTACAAATGATACATGTCAGGGGATGTGACCTCATTTCAGTTAAGACATTTTCAGATAAATGAATCCTGATTAACTGACATTTTACTCAAAATTTACAAGAATTGTTCTCTTCTGCATTTCTGGAAATGACAGTTGTTTCCTGTACTTCATAGGGATTGTTTTCATTTGTTTATTTCTTTTTTCAGTGCACTTTATAGTAAAAGTTTTAAACATTTTAAAATATGTCCACTTCTGCCTTCTAGTTGCTGAAAAATTAAGACAATTTTTTTAAAGGAGCATTTTATAAGAGAAGGGGCAGTCAGCTCTGCCCTAAAGGTGAACAACGACATCCCTGCAGTGCCAAGCTGTGTGGGACAACGTCCGTCTTTAGTTCAGAGCTTGCACAGCACCCAGCTCCATGTTGCCTGGCCCACGTAGCTAACAAAACCCTACACAGGCGGAGAGTTCTGCTATAAAGAAGTTCAGCTTAAAATTGTCAGAATATGCAGAATCCCAGCACAGATTCTGGATGCTGGAAAAATCAAAGCTACAGGACTCGAAGAATTAACAATTAAGGAGAGAGTGTGCTGATTTCCAAGCGGCTCTGCGACAGCCACATCACTGGAGCTCCATCACTTGCCTACTTCCTTGCAAATACAAACGGTAAACATGCAGTGGAAAGAAGGTCAGAGATATCGAACCCTAACTTAAATGAAATCCGCCGAGGGGCTAACAGCACGGCTTGCTAACATTGCCATTGTCTCCTGGTTTTTGCCATGTGTTTACATGGGAAAAACAAGTACTATGATAAGACAAATAATAAATTATCATTTTAATTCTGAAGATAAAACTAAGCCAGGAATAATGTTCTTTCCACTGGGGTTCACATGAGCATGGGCTCCTGCTAAGAGGCATGTCATCATAGCTGTTTACTGTGTAATAACCTCTCTTGTCCTCTGAGACCCCGTGCATTAGAGGCATATGGTAAGTAGGCCAATTGTCTGCATCTAGCATATGAGGTTTTGAAGGCAGAGAGAAGCACGACTGCATTTCAGTCGGTGGTCCTGTGGCGCAGGAATTCAAGGCAGGGCCAGAAAGGTGAATCTCAAGCACTAAACATGACACTTGACAGGGATATCAAGAAAACACTGAAAAACTGTCAAAACTTCATGTCTTAATTGAAATTACCCCTGTAAATGCACCTAATACTGAAATAATATTTGGTTTAGAAAAAAGCCTGTCTTCCCTTACCTCCAATGCACCACAGTAGAGCCTAAGTTATAAAGGCAACACAAGGGCAAGGACATAATCACATTACTGGCTTTCTCTCCTCTTCTGAAATGCAACTCAAGCTTCTCGCTTTCTCACTTAAAATCCTACCTGGGCCTCGTCTGAAGAATTAAACTGTACTCAATGTTCTCCATGTTTCACCTCCCGCCTCCCAACTCTTTGCCTTCTCTATATGTTGCACAGTTTTCCTGGAATGGGCTTCTTCACATGAGCTAATCATCATCATCCCCAAATGGCTCCTCTGAGTTGTTCATTCTCAAGGCTTTTACCATGAAATTTTCAGCATCTGAAGTTCTTCTAAATAAAAGATTGGAAGGCATCTTCAAGGCCATCAAATCTAGATTTATGGCTCCAGTTCTTGGAGTGAGAAAAATTGTGTGGTTTCCAGCCGTTGTTTTTAAAGCAAAAGGTATGGTAAATTTCTAGCCCTTGAGGATGGACAGCAGTTTCTTAAAGCTGATGAAAAAAGGCAAATGAAAAGGCCAGAATAGTAATTATTTTTTAAATCTCAATTTTTCAATATATACTTTTAAGCACTTGAGGTTGGCAACACTGCCTTCTTCAATCAGTCCTCTCACTGCATGGTGCTTACAATACTAGAGGTTGGATTTTCCACTGATTGCAGAGACTTTGGATCCATTTCTACACAGTTTTGACCTTTAGCCTTATCTTTCAATTGTTTTTGCAGGAAAACCATCTATTTTCACTGCACAGTAAAAAATGCAGGGACCTTACACAAAGTAATGCCCTATGGTACCCTAGCAGTAATTCATATGAAATCCTACTAATAAATATTTAACGTGTCATTAGGATAGTAGTATATTCATTTAAAAATATGCTTACCTCTTGTTGAAAGGAACAAGGGGTTATTCAAATAATTTGATGCAAGGCGTTTCCGCTACAAGGGAAAAGAAACCAACCACAGTGTCATTGAAAAGCGCTTCGGTTGTCTCTTACCATTTCATATTTACAATCTCCATGAGCTTCCCTCACATATAACCAGCTATCCAGAAGCCAGTTCCGTGACTTAGACTAGTCATTGCTAACCCCTGAGACAGTCATACAAACAGTTGCATTATCTACCTTTGTAACAAATTCTTCACAGAGCAGTTAGATGTGCATTAGATTTTATTAACAAGAGAGAAATGCAATTTGCAAATGTTATTGATTGGGTTGCAGGAGATGTTGCAGAGGTCGGTAAGAGCAAGGCAATGGCAACAGTAACTCCAGGTCTAGCAGATAAACAACGTCCATAAGGGAAAAACTGCGTAATAAATTGTTGCTGTGAGATAACATCTTTATTTGTGTATGTAGAAACGGTGATGGACTTCCCACCTGCAGAAAAACATTGCTACCTTCTGTGGCACTTGCCTACAGTTCGTAGGCACGTATTTTCTTTGCGTGTATGTAGAAACGGTGATGGACTTCCCATCTGCACAAAAACATTGCTAACTTCTGTGGCAGTTCGTAGGCACTATTTTCTTTGAAAGCAATGTATTTGGGCCTAAGCAAAATATTTCTCTTTCTGAAGTTAATGTGCATGACCTCTAGGAGTTGGCAGTGATTTCAAGCTGCTGAGGTCACCAAAGATTTTCAAACTGACAAACACAGACCACTGGAAACCTGACTGAGATGTTTAACTAGTTTAACGCAGCCCACCGTGCTGAGGTCACCAAAGATTTTCAAACTGATAAACACAGACCACTGGAAACCTGATTGAGATGTTTAACTAGTTTAATGCAGCGCACCACCAACTTGTCAGATGGTAAAAGCTGTTGGTCAATAGCAAGGCAGGCTTCATTAACAGTCTATATAACCCCTAATTGTTTCTCTGAGCCAGCCAGTACTTGTACAGCAGGACTGGAAACAGTACCATTTTCCTCCATTAGATGTTGTTAGACTCTGCTTGGAGGAAAATTAGAGGAGTTTTGCTAATAAATGATTTATTCTGTGGTAAGTAAACTGTTCTTATACATGGGTGCCTGCCAGTCTGTTAATGAATTTTGAATAGATGTTTCTTCCTTAAAAAAATACCCGCCCTGAAACTTAACCCTTTCCTATGCAAAAAAAAAAAAAAAAAAAAAAAGGTAAGCTACTGGGGGTAGGAAAATAGAATGGTCACGGTCTCTCAATTTTTTTTTAAAGAAAAAGGCTTTGAAATGAAAAAGCAGAACATTCAAGTGAAGACGTGAGACTGTGATCACATTTTTATAATCAAGGAAGTTAGCATCACCACTACAAATGCTGAGCTCCTGCTGTTTTGAGGGGTGTTGGCAAATAAGAAGTCTAATTTATATGCAATTTCAATTTAAACAATCATGAATTAAAGATCATTCAGTAGACGAACCATAAATTAAGCTGCACCAAAATGCCTGAAATGCCACAAAATACCTCAACTCACTGATTAGCAAATCAATCTGAGCAGCTAATTGATCAGAGAAAAACCATCTGCTTCCATTTTACTTGAACAGCATTCCCCATGGTCAGTACTTAATGACAACTCCTAATGAGGACACAGCTTAACAGCCACAGGACTCTTTCACAGACATTTCTTTCTCGATGCCATCTTTCACTTCAGGATATGCTTTTGAGAATAGATATAATGAGAAGTATGAACTAGGGGTGCAGTAGACCTCCTCCATCACCTCCTCCATCCCTGCTCCAAGATAACTGAGTTTCTCACAAACACTGATCACACTACAGCCACAAAACGCTGCTGCAAGTATTTTAATAAACTCACCAGGATAAAAAGATCTAAGAGAAGACAAATTTAATTAATCTACAAATTTGATGCTAGCATGGCTAAAGTTGCTACTGTGTTAAATACTGGATGTATGGACATCAGTATCTGCTCTGAAGAGGTTGCTTGAGAAAAGTTGAGGAGTTCTGAAGAATTCAAGTGCCCAGAGCTGCTCTGGAGTATAAAAATCTCCAATGCTTTCAAAAAAAGAACAGTCAAGCCACTAAGCAGCTTGACGGCAGCGGTGAGTTTCTTCTTAGCCTCATCTGTCTGCTGTCTGCCAACAGACACAGAAATCTGAAATGTTGGCATACGAAAAATTCTACATTGCTTGTACCTAAATAAAGAAAATTAACTTTCTTTAGGCTTAAAGAACGAAGAACACAGAGCAATCTTGCTTAAATGGAGAACTGGCTGCAAATCTGTTTCTTTCCTGTAGGAAGGTCAAATAGTAACCCCAAATTGTAGTGAAATTTTGAAGGTGGAACTTTAATAAGCTGAATAAATGCATATATGTCAGTTCAGAAACAAAGAAAAAAACAATTTCAGAAAAAGTTAAGTCTATTTATATGCTGCCTTTACACCAGGTTTGCAATCCAATATTATGTAGGACCATATTTTACTGCTACTATAGATATAACAGCATAAGTGTAACAGACAACGGAAATTATCCAGAGCATTTTATTTTTAATTATGCATTATTATATTTATTATGCAGGCTTCCCTACCCCCTGCAGAGCACACTGATTCTTAAACCAACACACCCCCTTTATGAATGTCACTAATAAAAAAAAGCAAAGTGCTCCACTTATTATTTGGCACACAGGAGAAGAGAACTAGCAATGCAAGTTTAAATATAATGCAGCACTTCTGTTCTTCAGTTCTGACCTAAAGGGACTGTCTGCGTGGGTGAAAGAGCAATTAGGTCCCACATTAATTTAGTCCTTTTGGTCTTTATTAAAATAAAGACGAATTCTAGTTTGAAGCAAGTGATGTTGTGGGGTGAAAACCTGTTGCTTAGCTACTGAGATGAGATCTTTTTCTTTTCCACATCAATATCTCTTTACAAGTAAATGTGTGGTTCTGCATTCATATATACTTTTGTAATAAGAAGCACTTAAATCTTTTATTGACATGAAATAGATCTGTGGTAAAAAAAGTGAATGACAAAGTACCTCTGTTTCCAAGAGTCCACTGTAGGCTGGATTTGCTGTGCTTCTTCTCTTTCTTTCCTGACGCTTGCTCTGGATTTCTGTAACCATGGAAAGAAACATGAATTGTGCATTTCTCATTCATCAGGGAAAAAAGTAGATCTAACTTGTTAGGCAAGATGCTCTTACCCTCAACCCCTTGGGCTTTGCGTTAAGTTTCAGTTTCTAAAGTATAATTGGGTTGCATCAGCATTGATATTTGCTACAGTCAAGGGTTTGACATTAATAAGCTTTTCCTCATAAGATTCAGAACACAGGCATTTTTTATTTTTTCCTTCCTCCAAGGTGGACTTCTGCTGCCTTACAAGATTTTTAGTATGATCCCTTCAGACACATGTTCAGCAAGCATCAACAGAGAGCTTTCAAAATATTATCAATGGCTCCTATTAACAAAAATGAAGCATTTAAAGCAGTTAAGCCTTGTAATTCATATCAGATGAAAACATAGAGATCCTTTTAAATTTAATTTACATTACTTTTCCTCTGCAGAGGCTAGAAAAAGCACAGTCAGAATAGTATGTCTAGATTCAGTTCTAACTAGGGCGTGATGATTTGTCCATCCAAAAATATACAACTTCACAATCCTGAGTGTGCAAAATGTTGTTATGAGCCATACATGTATTTGTGTCACTGGAAACGGCAGCACAAAGATAGGCTCATCAAATTGCAGTCCTGTTCGGAAAAGGGTGAAACACAAGAGAACTCCCCCCCGCTAAGCGGTAACACCTATTCAAGGGTACTTGCCGAGGACTTCATTTAGCAACAATTAGCCATGTGCATACTTCTGGAAACACACACAGAAGGAGTGAGCGGATTCCTCGACCACTGAAATCTGCAGGTTTAATGCTACTTTTATCTGAGCTGGGATTTCATTTCCGTCATATGGAATTTCTTTGTCCAGCTCTTGATCTCAGTTCAGAACGGTGAGATGATTACAATCATGTTTTAGAGCCTACTTTTTATTTCAATAATGAAGTAAGAGCAGATGTACTTTAGCAAGGAGAGCCACCCAGCATTCATCCCATGACATGACGTGTGCACAGCTGGGCTGATGCTCTATTCCAAAATGTTTCCTACACGAATATTGTAAGGCAAAGTTTAGACTCTGCACTGCGGTGCCAGAGGGATCTCGTTAGTCTAAATGCCCCCGCGATGGCGATACCTCCGTTCTGTCTTGCTCTAAGTAAATCTCCTGGAACCAGAGGAACTGGCAGGAGCACTAGCTCTTCAGCACAGAGAACTAGGAGCACACTCAACAGAAACCCAGGACACCATCTGGTTCTGCAGAAGGTCTGACATCTTCCGTCAATGTCTGAGCTCAAGAGGTCTATCTCAGAACATCCTCAGCACCAGAAAATGGCCTTCAGGACACTGAGCACTATCTCCCACTTGCAATCCAACAGTAAGATATAGTCCAGCTTTCAGGACGCGTACGATACATGGGAATTGGATTCCCAACACATAGTTCTGGTTTGCAGGCACCCTTTCCAAATATTGACCACTTCCCCACAGAGTAAAAGGGTCACATACCACTTTAAGGATTGCTACAGTAAATGGTATTAGTATTGTCAGTCATGTCTTGGACACAGTGACCCTAGAGACGAAGTCTGCATTTTGCATGGATTTTTGTCCTGGCCTGAGTTCCAAGATACCGTGATTTGAAACTTTTCATTCACAAAAGAGTATTGGCTAAGCCGCCACTCTTGGAGTGATGGATGTATCAGAAGGAAACTGGATAGACGAGAAAAACAGAAGAGCAACTACTTGCATATTCTGGCTGGGTTTTCCCACTGGCACAGGAACATGTCACCTCTCACGTTCAGAAGGTGTCTTCTCAGGGCAATTCAGAGCATACAGGCAGGTCTGTATTCACCACCTGACATGAGCTAGACATATGCTACCATGTGACTCGGGGAGTTATACAGAATCTCACTACCAAGAAACGTGTGATCCGAGGCTGCACCAAGATGTGCGATAAACGCCAGGGCTGCAACCACTGCCAGCATCTTGTTAACATCCTCGGTGCTACGCAGACTCCCAGAGGATCTTATATGGGTAACAGTTCTGCCCCCCTGTGAAACTATTTCCTATGAAATGCTCATACGGCTATGCTGAAATCTCCACCCTGAAGCTTCCAGACCCTCTGGCATCCTCTAAAGGGAATTGGGCTTCAGCAGCAGGGTAAGTGCTAGACATGGATCCAGCAGCCTGCCACAGAGCCACCAGAAGAGAGATGGTTTTTCTTGATGTCAGCATCCGTTCTTGTAAGGGGAGTGCTCTCAAGGTCAAAAGGTGACAGAGATGTCACAACAGAGGAACCATGTGCCTTGATGCTGGTGAAGAAACGGAGGAAGTGGCCCTCCGCTGACTCTTTGGTCTCAGCAGCGCGAGCTGGAGCCGTGGTTCCTGCAGGCAGGCTCAGTCACCCACGCCACGCCGTCAGTGAATCCAGGGCTTGCAGCCGATCGGCACCCTTGCGGCAGCGCAAGGAAAAAGGTGGAGTTAGGGCAGCCCAGGCTCAGTCTTTCAGAAGTGGTCACAGGGATACAAGATGGTCACTTTTCACTGGCCCAGAAAGAGAAACAAAGAATTCAACACAACAGAGCTTTCTGTGTCCATAACAGGGCCGAGTGCCTTCACAAGAGGAGTGTCATGGACCTGTAGCTCTCTGCCCTTTTGGGTCCCAGGTTTAAGTGAGAATTTCTTTGGTACATGCTCTCACCAAGGCAACAGAAATATTTGATGGAGTCTGAGTCACACATGTGGTAGATACCTGGAATGCAGCTTTGGAAGAGGCATCACTATGGTACAGAGATAAAAGCTGGCTGGGGGGAAAAGTAATAGCAGTGAGAATAGATGGAAACAAAGATAGAGAGAGAGAGAGAGAGTAATGAACTGAATCGGCTCTAGATGTACTCCACCCTATGCAGCCATCAGGGAGAGAGAGCACAATGTCAGCACTTCATTTACGGAAACTGAACAAAAAATACCCGTGCTTGTGATACTAGGAGTATGTACATCTAAGAGTGTATCTGTCAATAATCACACCAAAATAGAACAAAAGCGTACACTGATATACTATCTTTTGTTACTTGTTACTTCTGCTAAAATGTATTGTGTACATTTCAAAACAGGGCTCAATAAAATACAAACAAATAAATTGTTTTAACTGATTAAAACATTCCAGTAACCCAGATGGAAATATTTCAGGGTTTTTATTTTGCTAGGGTAAAACAAGATGTGCATTTTTAGAATGACCCAAACTAAAGAATTATTTTAAAAATTTGATTTTTATCTACTTTTTAATTTTTTTACACAATGGTAATGCTAAAAGGTGTTCTAATACCCTAGAGAGAGATATTTAATATGTTACAACCATGCACTTGATCACAGAATTGGGCTATCTTATTCCTTAGTTTATTAATTTAAAAAATATAATCCAAACAGAAAAAAACCTCTAAACTAATACATTTGACAGAGATGAATAAATTTGGAGATAGCTTTATGTTGGAGGCAAAGCTTCAATGAGCTGCTGCCTTCATCAATAAACACTCTGTATGGTCATTCTATGAGGCCCGTAATGAAAATTTATCTTCAGAGAAAGCCGTGCCTTGCAGAATGTCAGGCAGTGGAAGTGGCTGTGTTCATTTACTGGTAAAGGCCTCAGACGATGCCTCGCAGGCGGGCTCTGCAGAACAGAGCTCTTTTCCCACTAAGGGGAAAGATGCTCCTCTGGACATTAGGTGGAAAGGCTGCCAGGCTGATAGAGAAATCCACATAGAAGTGGATCATAGCCCTTCACCACAAAATTAATGAATAAAATGAAGAAAAGCAGTAACACTGTGAATTAATGATACTGAGTGAATAAGCTTTTAATGACCCAATCTTGATACAGTTTAAATCCAAAAATGTGAAATTGAGAAATACATTAGAAGTACTAAAATAAACTGAACTGTGTAATGACCACCGCTTCCTGATAAATAGCAATGGCTGACAACCGTAAATATGACATAGCACTAAAATAATAACCTTTAGCATGTGAAAGCTCTAAGGGTATTTTTGACAGTTGTAATCACCAATACTCATGAAGAAATACCCTTTCCATAGTAAATAGCTCTTGGTGGGAGCCATTTATTTAAAGCTAGTAGGAATATAAAATGTGAATTCGTCTGAAAGAATTGATTCTGCAGGATTAGTGTTGTAGCAGTTAGGTTCAAAATGCGCATCTCCACACTTACTGTAGTACAAACAGGGCAGAGCAGTACTTGGCGTTTTGAACATAAGCATTAAATCCACACAAACAATTTACGGGTTCCAATAAAATCAAAGGGTAAAGAATTATTCAAAATGAAGTTCCCCCTGTTGTAAGCATAATTTGTACTTCAGTATAATTTCAAATGTTGTCCTATTTTCCTTAGACAAAGAAAACAAGAACCAGTCATCATTTGCACTTTTTGGGTTATAAATCTTCTCCCAAAATTGCTGTAGCTTTTTAATTTCCATTTCAATCCATTACCATTAAGGGATTAAAAAGGTTGATAGCTTAAAGTTTCTTTAAACTGCTTTCAAATTCTCAGTCACTGGGACATTAAATGATTTTCTAAAACGCAGATTTAAAGAGGAAAGGCACTGAAAAAAGGCAACAAGACCCACAGAAAACCTGCTGCATATATTGAGGAGACCTGACAATTAAGATGCTATTTTCTCCCTAATTCACAACCTCTCTTAAAACCAAGGAACAGAAGCACAGGGAATCTTACTAAAAAGAAATCAAGCTGTAAAATGGTAGACACCTCTTGAATCAGCAAGGTATCTAAGCCTGTACGTAACTCTAAAGCATATAAAACTTAAACTCAATGCACTGAAAATTCCTAAGTATTTTCCTGACAATGGTCCATGGGATGGATGGTAAATGTCAACTAGAATGAAAATCTTTTGCGATCAAGAATTATTGTCAGCTGACAGATACCAGATTTTTCTCCTTATACCAGTGGAACCACACCAACTTGTATTAGCTGAGAATGTTACCAAAACACATCAAGCTGTAGACTTTTTCTTAAAAACAGTTGTATCTTCTCTGCCCATGAGAACTAACCCATTCTGCCAAAAAACCCCCAGCTCATCGCACACCACTGGCAAATTTGCTGAACAAACTCTTTTTTTCCCCTCTCATCTATGTTTTCAGAAAGACAAAGGTGAGGCAAAGAAAGGTACAAATCTGCTAACTCTTGCAAGGTATTTTTGGAAGGTTGGAAAAGTAAACTGAACACTAAGCAATACTGCATTTAGTTTATGTGCAATATTTGTTTGAACTCATATTCAGAAGCCTAGGAAGACATGCTAGCAGCTCTCACACAAAAGCAGAATCTGACTGGAAGTCTGGGGATTTTTTTCGCTAAATGGGCAGAAATGAAGGGAAGGAAGTCTTTGTGAGAGGTAGTTTTCTAATTTGCTTAAAATCTTATAAAACAAATGCCAGATTTTCACCACTATTTTACACATTATTCTGTGGAACTCTAGATGATTAACTCAAAAAATGAAAGTCCATCTCACATGGGGAAGGAGGAGAGGTTATGCTTGCTACAGAAGATCTGGGTAAACATCTTTGAACCTCGCTGGTTCTTCAACCAGATCAGTGCTGGTCAGAGCCTTTGCGGGCTTTTTGCTTCACTATCATCCTCCAGCTGTTAACATCCATCATGACCAAGTGAGCCCAAACGCCAGCTTAAGCCAAGCCTGCTATTGTAAGGTCACCCATTATTTTGAGGCTGAAAAGCACAATTGTGCATAGATAACATTTCACTCGATTTTTCATTGCCCTTCAGAGGCTGCAGAGCAGCCAAGAGAAAAGATTTCACTCAAAAACTGAACGATAAAAGAACATATGCCATCTTACCTTCCAAATGTTCTGTTGTAACCAGTCCTAATGCTACCATGAAGGCAATTTTCTAAGGAAAAAATAATCAGGGGTTAGATTTTCTACTACCACAATCATGGTAGAAGTAAATAAATAAATAAATCTAGCATTGATAGAATAAACCCGGTAAAGGTCTTTTAGAAAGGTATCTTATTTGAATGCATAGTAATATGAAAAACTTTAACTGAAGATTTGCTTCAGATATGCCTGGTCAGTCACGTCCTACTTGTATGACTATATGAACTTTAGCAGTTCAGAAACTAATGAAGCCAATGCTGTATGACTACTGATTTTATATGGCATGATCAAAATTCAGTCAATTCAATCAATTCAATTTCATATTGCTAGCTGCTTTGTTACTCCACTCTTTAGAGAAGTAACTGTGTATTATTATTACTATCTGGACATGGCACTGCTTTAATTGGATATGACCAAGATGTATGAAGTAAAACAAGATATGATAAACTTCCACTGAACTTTACAACACTAAACAAGACATCTGAAGCACACTGAAAGTCCTCTCTCCCAAAAATCTTTCAGAAATTTCTCTTCCCAAGTTACAGAAAGAATATCATGTGCATGAATTATGAAGAAGTAGACTCATCCAATATTTTCCCTCAATGAGGAGTGAACAAACATCTCCTACTGGCACTGGTGAACTCACTCTGCAGTGAGGAATCTGATCTAAAATATTACTCAGAACTCTTGTACGCTATATATGCACAAAACACATCTTCACACTAACAAATCTTCAAAACGTGCCAATGGAGTAAGAGGGCAAGTACTAGAGCAGATTCTAAATTTTCTGTCAGTGATTTTTCCTTGGGAATTTTTTCCTTGCAGAAAAAGTTTTGCTGATGCTTTTATTCTATCTTTTTGATGGAAAAATGAAATTCTGCTATGTTGTTCCAAGCCCAAACTGAACTGAACTCCTTGGTTTTGAGTCACATGTGCGGTACTGAGGGGGAATCTCCTCCTCTTTCTGCTGTGCTGAACAACTTTGTTGGATCATATTACCCAAGTGGCATTTTCATGAGGTGCTATTCCACAGGAGAGACAATCTGACTACGAATCCCAAGCTATTAGGAAATCCAAGCAAGTAAAGCCCACAGTCCAACTGTGATAAAGCATCCAAAATCTGTAAGATGATGCAATTATTATACTCACCCAAAATAAAATGTGCAGATTTAGGTCAAACTAAATTACAGTGTTTAAGCGGGAGAAGGTCAAAATATTCTGTTTCAATCAAAGAAGTGTCAGGAGAACACGGTTCAACACTTCCAAGTCAAAATTAATTTGACCTTCTTGTTTTGTGAAAAGCCTCTTCATTGTAAAGTTTTGTGAAAAAACTTTTCATTTTAGTTCAGGATGAAATCAACTAGTAAGTCACCTTTCCTTTGCAATTCCGACTTTCACACAGTAAAATTGTGAAAGCAAGCACATCCTCATTTTGTAGATGAAAAGATCTAGCTATGGGGTGGGTTCTTCAAAACCTGAGGGTCAGGTTTGGACACCTATATCCCTCTTACATATGTCAAAATATCTCTGTCAAACAGGTGAAGTAACAACATTGTAAGACTGGAATATTTTCTTTCCACGATCTCCTAGTACGTAATTCTCCCTATATATTAAAAAATGGTGATGTCGATCTCATCACTGGCAATTTAGATATATTCATGCCACATTTCTGCCTTCCGTAACTGTGGTAATGACAAGCACATGTGTTCATTTGCATGTCAGATCTGGATTTCAATAACATACACTTCTTATGTGTCTAAAAGACCAGCTAGACACAGTGGCGGCTCTGCACCTGAAGGGAAAGATGAATATTTGATCCAAGATCTACTGTGCAGATCTGAGAAGAAAATTAGTCAATTGAGTAGAATTACAAGCTTTACCTCACCCCCCACCAAAAAGTAACTTTGTGGCAGGATACCTCTCCACGCTCTGAGCAGAAGTAATAACAACATTTAGGTATAGAATCAGAAACCTGGGATGGTTAACATGTGATTGTATTTTCCCAATGGAGTGCAGAATGCCTATATTACCTGAAGATTAAACTGCTGGGGGAGCATACATTTTCTGACATCTAAGCTAAAATTATTTGAGTGCTGGAATGCTTGCTAAACAATTTCCTCTCTTCATACTAAAATTATTTGAACACATATCTAACTAAATGTAATGACAGCACACTTGCTTAACGTATGAAGAGCCTTCATAAATGGACTTGATAGTTACCTCACTATTAAACAAAAATCTATTTCATAGATATTTGAAAGATGGTTTATATTTTAAAAATCCCAGTAGAAGCTGTATTCTTTTTAACAAGCATATTATATTAACAGTATATTTGTTTTTATGGGTTTTGCTATTTCACACTCATGTAGCTCGTTGGATTCAACTCAAAATACTACTTCCACTGCAGTGCTTTCCTTTCAAATACCACAGTTATTGTTTCTCCTTCCTCTGTGCAGGAATCTACAAAACTGAGGTTTGAGTTTCTCCAGATTTTCAATCCAGGCCTAACACTAGCATTTGGTTCACAATTGCAATGTGTCTCTCTTGTCCTTCTTAGGTGGGATAAAAGCCACTGTGAGGTAAATAACCAGCATTTATGGCAGTATTTTTTCTTTTAAATAAAAAACTGCTAGAATGTCCTGGAAAATGTTGCCAGAGTTGTGAAATTTTATGAATATAAAATTTTTTAGAAGCAGAAAGTTTTAGGCAGAATTCTGTTTCTTTCTGTGCTGAACTCAGGTACTTTTAAGGAAAAAAATGAAAATCAAAAAAAAAAAGCCCCAACCCCCTGGGCACACGCTCCCCAGAGGAGCATCTCCCTTGCATAATTCCTTCATTTCTTCGCAGAAGTCATTCTGGTGGGAGAAGACCCATCACTAGACAGGCTCCGTTCCCAGCACAGCCCCGCTGACGGCAGGGAGGGGGTGGCTCACTCCTCCAGACCCTCCTCAGCCCCGTGGGCACTGAGCCCTCAGGGCTCATATCCCGGGAGAGGGCTCTGACCACTGGACCCAGGACACCCTGGGCGGCCAAGACCCTCCATCCCACTTCTGGGAAAGCCACTCCACAGCCAGGCACCCAGGTGTCCTGGCTACAAGGCAGCGGACGCAAAGAAGTTTGCTTTAGGCTAATGATGACATACTTGGGAAAGGAGAAATCTTCATCTTATGCAAAAGGCACAGGTATTGCAGGGGGCTGTGTCCAGGATCAGCTTCACACTTTCCCAGCAGAATGACTGAGCCAGGAACGAAAGACAGTAATTATCCTCAGTCTTTTCTGTTCGTTCAGGTACGCTCAGTAACTGCATGTGGGATTCCTGGCTACTGATAAGTCTGGTGATTTCTGGTTTATTTATTTTTTAAATTTTCAATTTAACTTCTTAAATCCCAGTCTGTCACGACTAACATTTATGCAGAGCCATTGGAGTTGTGTGGAAAGAAGTGCTTAGAGTGCTTATTTTCTTTTAAAAATATCATAGCATCTTTGTTACTCTTTGCCTTAAATTTAATCATCTGTTTAAAAGCCATGAGTGCTTTTAGAAATGCGCCGTATGTCTTTTCATGAAGCAAAACAAAGATTTTTACAAGACCATTTCATTTTGTAATTATATGTTCTATTTATGTCATTACATGTATTTACACTAATTATGCTGTTAGTTCTAATTACGCTAATTGCATAAATACATGATAATCAACTAAAGTTTACTTTCAAAGAACAAAAGAAATTAACTCTAGACCTACATATTTACAGCCGTGAAACAAATCTACGAAAAGAAGTCATACTTATGGGCACAGCTTCAGCATCCTACCCAGAAAATTGTGCTTACCGAGACCTCTGGTATATACAGTAGGAACAATGTTCTTGGTTACAAAAAAGGTAGTCAGGATATTTTAGTTAGCAATTTAATGAAGAGTTCATTAAATTTATGAATGCTATACCAAAAAGCATGCCCAGTCCCATGGTCTCTTCCTGCAACTCTCTAGAAGATTTTTGCTCAATATTCTGTCCGTGGGGATAAGTTACGGGCAAAGAAAAATGGATGTTTTTTCTAGCATTCTGTTTCCTTCTGCCCATAAGGCTCTACACAATAAATAATCTTTTGGAAATACCTCCATAAACAAAACAGGACCCTACAGTCCCACCATTCAGTGACAATGAAGATTCATATGAGGGTCAGATTTTAAACTTGGGAGGTTTCCAAAGTGTAGTTCTGCAGAGCTTTTGCATAAAGCTGTGATATTCTCGCTAAAAGCCACTGTTTATCCTTAAAAATTGTAAAACAAATGACCATCCACATGCCTCAAGTAACATTATAAATTTGCCCTTAAATAATGCCCTTAAACCTACAGCTCCAAGGATGCTTTTGTGCTGCACATTTATTGGACTAGTAAGGTTAAGATTGCATGAGCTGAGCATTTCCACAATAGAAGTAGATTCAGTTTGTATAACTTCTCAAATTGCCTCAGAAGTACACACAATCTAATGCAAATACACCTAGTCAAAAACTGAAATACCTGTGAAAGACATACTCCATTTCTACAAGGACTTCTCATTTCTATTTTTCACATTGCAAATATAGTTCACAAATGGGATTTAATCTTATAACCTGTTTTCTACTGTCTTACTCAATTTGAAGGATTTTAATGTATTTCAGACCAGAATCTGTGTACATGTGGGAAGACAGGTACAAAGCAAATGCAACAAACTGTATTGTTACATACAATATAAAAATTGCAAGATTCATTACAAAGAAGATGTAAAAGCTCAGCTTACAAAAGAAATGTTAATTCAACCTCAAACGCAGCCTGTAAACCCAATGTTATATATTTGATAACATAAAAGAAAATATCTTACGCTTTTATACCTCTTTCACAAGACATACAGCTATACCCACACAAGCTGCCTAGATTATTATGGGACTTACTATTCTTATATTCTGTGACACTGGAAGGTTTGAATGATGCCAACCAAATTTGTCAGAGCACCTCACTGGCGAGGAAATCATCCCGATAGCAGTGGTTAGGTAGAGAGATGAACAGCTGGCAGAACCATGGGCACAAATGCAGTAATTATGTATGCACACAGAAAAACGTTTAGAATTGGTCCCCATAACTTAACCATACTGTAGCTCACTTATTAAAAAAAAAAAAGAAAAAAGGTCACCTCTGGATTTTCCTCCTTTTTCTTTTTGGTAGCAGGGGGTCCCTGAGCTGACTCTTCAGGAGGTTTCTTTGTCTCCACTTTACTTTCTGTCTGGGTTTGGACTTGAGGCTGAATAATGATAACCTAAAAGACAATGTACAAATAAGAGAATTCAGTATATGAAACTGGATTTTTCTGCCTGAAACCTTTGATTCTTCTTTGAAGGGTTACTTGATACCCTTACAGACAACAAATGCAAGTCATAAGACAAAAATATAAAAAAAATGGATACTTAGGTTAGGCTTCTAAATCCATACTTAAGTTTCTAAAAATTAATTTTTATCGGTGCATTATAAACTTACTGCGGCCTAAGGGAGCCATTTCATCAGTGCCTCTGAAAACTAGGACACTTTCTATTTAGAGGACTTCCGAAGCTGACTCAGCAGCCTAGCTTTAGCACTTGTGTTGTCAGTGATTTTAAGGTCTTTCCTTTGATTTTATTTTGCATACAGGTAGAAGAGATGGGATTACTACACATTCAAAACTACAATTTGATCTCAGTCATACTAGTGTTGTTTCAGAGCAAATACATGGGAATGGGAAGGAAGATACTCCTCAGTACTACTCATACAGCTATATGAGATCAGAGATCAGAGATGAGAGTTCAGTCCTCAGCATTTATGTGTTATGAGCAGTGGATGTCCAGTTTTCCATAAATAAAATAAACTATATGTGTTCGTAATTCAAATTAATTCTGTTTTAGAACATATAGGAATTGCTACACAGATCTGTTATATGTGCATGTATATTAGTGTATCTAGCTGCTCGTATTTGAATTACCACATGAAGATTTACACAGTGTAGATAGCATTACCCCAGAAGCTATCAAATTAAAAGGAATGAAGGACAATTGCTGACCACAGAACTGCACATGTGACTTTATAGCCATAATCAAAGTTCCATGAAGGACTATGGAAGACCTTTCCAAGCTCATCTTCTTGATGAAGGTTATTGGATTTGAATGCTGGGCCTTTTCCATCTATTTCATTGCTAAATTTCAATCAATGCTATTTAATTTTTAGACACTTTATCTCAACTCAGCCACTCTGGAAGATTCAAGAGCATAAAAAGAGACAGTTTTCTTAACCAGCAGCCAGTTTAAGTAATAGAAAAACAAACTATGTTCGAGAAGTGGGGAAGAGATGCCCGCTTTTATTTACCTCAAAAGCCATCCTACATCCTGTATTCTTTTTTAGCACTGTCTGAGAACCTGTGCTGCCAACAAGACCCAAAGTAGCAGGACCCCAGTAGCAAATTACAGCGAATGTCTGCTGGGTACATTGGCAGCCTTTATTGAATCTGTTTCTGGTATAAGAGTGGTGAAGCTCTCGCATTTCAAAGCTGAAAAGCAGTACAAAGAGGAAACAAGTAATTCATAACTTGATTTTTTCCTACTGCTTCACCTGCTGATCAGTTTTGAAACCCTGAACTCTCATTTCATTTGGTCTTCCCCTGAAAGTGTTGAAGGGAATGCCTGATTATTTGATATACTCCCCTGGGGTCAGTCAATATAACTAGTATCATTGTATAATTGAAGAGGGAGTCAGCGGAAATTTGAGCCTGCGTAGGATTCAGGGATATTATTAGTGAGGACTGGTTTAAGGAAATGGAAGATCATATGGTCCCATTAATGTCAGGCTACATAATGATGCATTTTGTTCCCACTAAAAAATATGCTTGTACACAGATAAATGTCTACTAGCAGCCATGTGCCCCTTAAGAATTTTCCCACTGCTTTCTGATTGTTTCCTTCAAAAGGAACCACTGACACCACTCTGCACAGGGCTGTGCACTCCCAGGGGAATATTCTGCTGATGTCTGCAATGTAATTCCTGTGTTTGATAACCAAAAAAAAACATGCCGGGAAAAGCAGAACCTACCTTGCTGTCGGCACTAATGAGGAGTGGTTGCACTTTAATGCTATCGTTGACCACAGAGACAGTCGCGCTGGTGCTGATAGGAGTTGCATTGTTGGGGGAGGTGGAAATGATGGCGTACGCCACACCTGCACTGCTCAAAGGTGATGAAATAGCTGTAGACTCGGTGACACTTTGTGACTGGCTGTTAGGCGTCTGTACATGGCTGACGGTGTTATTGGCAGTCGGGAGGGCAGGGCTGGGGTTTTTGATGCTGACTACGGTTGCCTTCTGGAAGGTAGGAGGCTGCTTGGAAGGTTGGTCTCTGCACGGGGAGATAGGGAGGCTGTCTGGAATCAGGGTCTTTGGCCTAACCTACAAACAGAGAGCTAGACGTTACTAGGCACAGCCTCACACCGTAACAAACAAACACTGCACACATGCGCTCTCCCAGTAGAATCTCTAGTTGCATTAACCATGGAACAGTTGCATTAACCATGAAACATAATGTAGCAACTTGAAGTAGCCAGCCATTCATTTACTTGTAGATATATCCCCAGTGCTCCTCAGTTGGGTCGTTTTGGAGTCCTTAACTCATTGCAATGCTCAACAAGAAGGGAGGAAAAAGTCAATTCCTCACTTTTATTAGCACACATCCATACAAATGGTACTGAAGTCACATCAAGTTCTCAGTAGGGATGTTTAAGCCACAGCCTTTGCAAAGAATGGAAACCCCAGACGCAATAATTTCCTGTTCTGAACACACACTTGCTATGAATTAAGGAGTGGGAACTGAATCATTAAGGGAGTTGTGGGAAAGCATTTACAGGAACAGTAAGCATGTGCATTTATACTGGTGGATCAGCGAATGAAGATCCTCACATTTTTAAGGTGTGCCATGTGCAATGGAGAGGAGATCAATCACGCAATCACTCAGCTCACCAATAAAAAAAAGCACGGGGAAGAAAAGGAACACACAACCATCGAACTTCATATTTTGTTGCTGCAAGTAAAGAGCTAGTCTGCAGCTGCAGGTGGATGCAGAAGGAACTTCCATGGATGGAGGGGGAAACTGCCATGATTTGCAAAGGCTGCGGCTTTACCCAGAGCCACGAATCATAGCTGCAAACAATTGTTTTCAGCTCATGTGATGTGTTTCCAGTGGGGTAATTAACATCACCCTGTCAACATGGCTCTGCCTTAACAACGCGTTAAGGACATTCCAGGATTGAAAATAAATAATTTAAAACTGCTTCACATGAAGTTAACTTCACTCCTAGCTTATTCGTTAACACAGCTAGATAAAACAGTCGGTTCCCTCTGTGCTTATTTAGTCCTGTCACTTCTCGCACCTTCCATACTGTGAAACAAAATGACAAGTTGTAACAGACAGACATGGGAAACAGCTGCCCGTGTCACTGCTCTGCAGTCGACAGGAGCCCTTCCAATAATGCCGACTTCAATCTTGAGCCTAAGTAAGCAATTTAATGAAAACGCAGGGATTTACTGATGTGCAGAAAATCATCTCTCAAGGCTGGCCATCATCCTCTATCGCGTCAAGGAGAAGCCATACCCGTTTGTCCCCGCAGCGAATATTAAGCGAAGCAACACGCGTATTGCGAGCTCTTCGTGTTTTGATAACTCGGCCCTCAATTGCCGATAGGATCCGAATACCTACGAGCAGTGCAAACGTGTATTAGAGGCACAGTCCTGCTCGGGAGTGGATAAACTGTCAGTAACCAAGGTAGATGGGAAGCGAGAGAGTAAACAACCAAAGAAGAGCAAAGAGGAGGGTTTGCCCCAGGTCCTGCAGCAGATTTGTGACAAAGCTGGGAAGGTGCTGTGTTCAGCTCACAACTTCGGGGTAACACGGGAAGGCCTCACAGACCCACTGTGAAATGATGCAAAACTGTGCTAAACTATGATTAACCATATTCAAGATACACTGACAGTAACTGAAGGGGGTTTTGCTCTTTTTCCTCCATCCAATCACTTTATGTAATGATTATTTGATTTATTCAGCTAAGATACCAGACAAACACCCTGGCCAAGTTGCTTAAGAGAGGAGTCTATAATTAGTTTCATATCCATAATTAGTTAATGGTCTTATTTCAAATGTAGTGCACAGAGGATTGGTTTAAATCCATCTTGGTCCAGGGATTCTGCAAAAGTAAGGCTTCTAACATAAACAACACCTCAGTGCATCAGGAGACATGATACTTAAAGGAACTTGTTCATGTCTGTATCAGAGTCAGTTATACAAGCAGACCTTGTAATATCTACTTTTATATTTTCATAATAATATCCTTTCCCTCCTAGGTTATATCTTACATAAGTCTCTCATATGCCAGCCTTTAACAAATTGCTCATGCTCATGTGCTCAGAGACACATTCACAGAAATAGTATCATTATTCAGCAAAGAAAGTCTGAGAAGTTTGGCAAAATACAGTTAAAATGTATTACCATGGCTAAAAAAATCCAAATTTAACTCTTAGTTGTTTGGCTAACATTTAAATTTTACCATCTCTTCTTAAAACAAAATAATTTTCTTGTAAATTAATATAACATCTGTTACCAACAGAAATACTGTAAACATACAGATAAGCACATATATACAGAGAAAGGGAGAGAGAGAATAAGGAGTAGTTCAGATCAAAGATTCAATAGAACAGTCACTGAGATCTTTAGAAAAAATCAAGTCTGACAAACAATCAGCTCAGGAGTTTTTCTAGCCAAAAACTGTCGCGTAGTCTACCAGGCTCTACTGTATCTGTCACTCGTAATTGCAATTTTATATTTATTCACAAGCCTAATTAAAGCTAAATGCCTATATATATTCCAACTATATGATTATCTTTTCTACACCATTACATACGTATATTGACTGTCAGATGTAATATCTCAATGAATTCTATGCACACCATTAATACACATTCAGCAAGTTGTGGATGAATGCGTATTACCTTGCTATAAAACAAGCTCTTCCTGCGCAGACAATTAAACAGATTTAATTTCCCAAAGTAACATATTCTCTATAAAGCCCTGCGTACTGAAATACCTGATGAAGGTTTCCCGAACTGGGCCAGCACAAGACCATGTGCCGGGCATTTTCTGCCACCGTGTGATACAAAGGAGGTATAGCCGTCTGCGCAGGCCAGCCCGCTGCCAATGCCCTGGCAAGTGCACCTAACGTTGTGAGAGTATATTTATATGCAGTTATGGAATAATAAAAAAGGTTGACTGCAGAAGAAGTTTCAGGTGCTCCTGAGTTAAAGCTAAAATAAGTAAAAGTTAAAATAATGTTTATTTCTACAGCCCGCACGGATGAATCCAAACCAGAAAGCTAGCAGAGAAGCCCCTTGTGCTCTAACACCTATGAACCGTTCCCCCCCTGAATATAAACACGAGGGTAAGCACTTAATAAACAGCTAAGTGAAAGACCTTTAGCAGAGTTTCACATTAAAAACCAAACTGCTACAGTAATCTGCGAGAATAAATGGTGTCAGCTGGGAAGAAAAAAAAATTAAGGAAAGAGCTAGCGTAAATTCCTTTTCCTCATGGCAAAAGTGTAGCTTAAATTTGGGAGATGAAAGGAGGACAGTGGCGCTAGCAGAAGTTTGGGAGTTGACAGCCACCAAAGAAGAGCTGGAGAAAAACTAGGGCAGGGCACGGACTGCATTTAACATGCAAGGTATCAAAAAGACGTTTTCTACTGCAAGTAGCACAGGTTGGATGGCACCCACTACAAGAGCCACAGAAATAAAAGGTGCAAAAGTTTACCAAAGGAGAAGTAAAGAGAAAGAACAACAGACAGCATGTATGCTACCAAGTGAAAACTGCAACTGCTGGCGAGCGCTGCAAATAACAATTCTCCTGTATCTCAACCCTCCTCTCCCCAACTATCTTCCATTTAACTTCTGACAGCTGTCAAAACAGAATGTGATACTACCAGGGCTCTAAACGCAGGAGAAGAGAGAGCTTCTTCTTGAACATAATGATTTCACAAACCTGTGTCGTTCTTGAGTCTCCTCAATACGCGCAATAACAGAAACATTTGATTTTAGGCGGCAATGTTCAGACACCCCTGGTACTGCTCAAATAGCCTGCAGGTGAGCACACTCTTCAAGAAGATACTCCCAGACCTGAGAATTCACTAGATGGGGGCTGTTTGCTTTTCAGACAGGGAAATAATAGGGAGCCCAATCCTGCGAGATGTGCAGAGTGCTCTTTTGTTCAGCAACCTCTAATTTCATATATTTTAAAGTTTCACATCAGGAGGGAATCAGCTCCCGTGACTAATATGACTCCTTGTATATCCCATATCATTAAGCACCATCCAGATGTCCCTCTACGAAGCCCAAAGGCTTCCATTACTCCAAAACATCATTCCAGCTCTGAGGACCACAAATTGTTGAATATCGCAGAGGTGAACGAACTGCTGAGTGGTGGAGGTGGGAGAGCCTGATGTGTGTCACCATTGACAAAGGCAACTGTGATCATGGGCAATCTATTTCCTGAGCTACATCCCATCAGGTGAGCTGCTCCCATGCTGCAGTAAAGAAAAAGAAGGTAAAAGAAAAAAACTCTTACAAAATAAGCCCTTAAGATCCAACCCAAACAAGTATGGGGGAAAAGGAGGGGAAGGAAAGGAAAGCACACAATTCCTCCTATCTCTGTGGGCAATTCTATGTAGTCCTAAAGGACAGGATTTAATTAGAACAGTTATCTCTGTGCAGATTTGCAGGTGCTATGAGAATTGTTAAGGGTAATTCTGGTAAATGTGTTCTCCTTACGGCCTAGTGAAGAAGGGAAGTTAACAAATGCACTTCAATTGCAAATCAAAAGGGATCACCACGATCCTCCAGCTCACAGACTGGCCATAGAATTTCTCCCAGAAACTGAAGACTGATTTTAAAAGAAAATACTAAAGAGTTCTTAACAATGAATTCATCACGAGCCCCAACAAACTGTTCTAACATTTTATTATGACAAGACTGGCATTTTATTGTGAGGTTGAATTTGCCTAACTTCATCTTCCAGTCCCTGGCCCTGGATCTTGCTACAGCTTTGTCAGCAACACTGAAGAGCCCTCCCCCTCCCCAATATCAGATATCAGCTGGATCGTGCTCAGCATCAATCAGCCCTTCATACTGGCAGGGCCGATCTGTATGAGAGTAAATTTTTCAGCTCAACGCAGTATCACATTGCCTTTGAGAGAAAGACCATTATTCACACTTTATTTTCACTTCACCCTTGTACTCAGAGCTTAAAAACAAAAACTCAAAATGGATTTGGCACAATTCATATGTCACAGAGGCAAAGTGCTGGGAGCAGCAGACAGAGCTTTCATTCTTGAAAAGCTTTAGAGGATCAC